ATTCAAGAATATTACTGACAAAAATTAGCTCTGATGAACTCCCACAAACTCGCTACACATGAGAATTTCAAAACACACAGAGTCAGTGCTGATTTGTCTCCTGCTTAAAAAGATCTTGAGTACCAACAACATTCGTTATGATAAACTCTATATTGATAAGCCTAATGCACCCTTTCACTGGGGTATTCGCGATGGAGCAATCATTAAGATCCGCGATGCCTTTACTCCTCGCTGCATCCCAACTTACTACCTATAACCTATACACCAATCGCCTACCAATCACCTGTACTACCAATATGCGTTCACTCTGTAACAAAATTTAGATTTTTAATCACTTTCTTATAGAAATTAACATTGACATTGCCTGTTTAACTGAAACCTGGCTTAACTCTAGCGGTAAGCAAATTATTCCTTCTCAAATCAATAATAATTACACTTGAATAAGCACTGAACTTCAAGATCGCATGGGTGGTACCGTTATATTAATAAACAAAAAATACTCATATAATATTGAAAAAATAAAATTAACTAAAGTCTATTTGTCTAACTTGGAGACTAAACAAGAAGGGGATCTAAATGGCTGCTCTACTGACTTTATTTGTCGTTCTCACCAACTCATTCATCTTAATGCGCACCTTACCAGGAAAACATCTATTCTTGACATCATCTTAAGTAACGCTCCTAAATGCTATGTGTCGTATACCCTTTCTAGTTTTGGTAATCCAGATCATCTTGTCGTAGTTAGTCAAGGTAAATCTACTTGCCCAGTTCCCCCACAAGATTCCTTACCGGTCAGGAATAGTTGCTGACACTGTTGCACTGATACGATCTACCAATATTATAACCTTAGTTGATTCACCGAATGAAATACAAGTTGCTTGCATCAACTTTTATTATTCTATACTCTCTGCTCAAGACATCTGCCAACCGCTAAAATAATCAACCTTTGTTAACCCTAAGCCTTGGAAGACATTACTTATTCAAGGCCTTATAAAAGAGCGACAAAAACTTTTTTTCCGGGTACTACAAAAAGTCGAAATAGCTTGCAAATCAAATTAGTAAACTAATTACCAAAAGAGAGAAAATCTATAACAGGCGTTTCACTTCTAGAAAAGGAGAATTTTGGCGTGAAATCAGTCTTGCTGATAAAGGTCAAATCACCACTCCTATCTCTGCAACACGAGCAAACCAATTAAATGGTCACTTTCAAAGTGTTTGAATTGGTAATAAACAACCTAACCTCTCATGCTTCATCAATAGAGAGGCAAAACCGCCTATAACCCTAATTTTTACTTATAATAACATTCTCAACCAACTTAACAATCTCAAACCAGGCTCCTCAGGACCAGATAACCTATCTTCATTTTTACTTAAATCTGCTCGCTTTGAGATTGCCCCATCGCTCTTCAACCAATTCAAACGCCTCATAGAAAACCTGACCAATGGAAATCAGCAAACATAACACCGATTCCAAAAATTTCTAACCCAGATTCGTCTAATGACTATCGTTCATTTGCCATTACATCCACATTGTGTAAAGTTTTTGAACGTATTATCACCAAATTGATTGTCCGTCACACCAAGCACTTATAGATTTTCAAACAAACAGTTCGGATTCTTTCCAGGCCGAAGTACAATGGATGCTATTAATCAAATTATAGAGGACTGGAGTCATGCAAAAGATAACAACAAATCAATTTATGCAATATTCTTTGATTTTGAAAAAGCTTTTGATCTTTTCAGTCATGACAAGCTATAAAGTTAGTAAACTTACTACCTAGCTGGCTTACCTCCTGGATTGCAGCTTACTTATCTAGTCGTCAACAATGAATTAAAACAAATGATCACACCACTGAATGGAAATTTATTAAAGCCAGTGCGCTTCAGGGTAGTGTTCCAGGTCCAATCCTGTTCATTCTATTTATTTCCAATATTAACGTCTATCTTCCACCTGAAACCATCCTCAAAAAATATGCTGATGACATACTGACCTATATAGTTAATTATAAAATTCCTCCAAACCTACCTCAATCCATTGTTGATGGCGTCGCTCTTTGGTCTATGGTACACGGAATGAAAGTTAAGGGCCTTAAACTTAAAATCATAACAATTATTCCTAGGTGCTCCGAAACTCAAGCTTTAACATCCCCTGTACTCAATTATACTGAACTTGAAATAGTCAGCAGCCACAAATACCTTGGAATTATGCTCAATGAGAATATTGACCGGGATGAAAAGTGGAAAAAAGTTCACAACAATATAAAATCAGTGCCATATCTACTCAAACGTCTTAAACAACTTGGACACACTCAGTCAAACCTTTTACAGGTCTACCGATCTTAGGCTATTAACCACTTGATAAATAGTGATCGTACTCTTACTTCATGCAGTGCTGCTGTAAAAAGAGAGATTTAACATTTTCATAAAAATGCCCTACACATTATTGGAGTTGATATAACCAATTCAAGCAGCTTCAATATTCTTTTTGACATTTAAGAGTTACTAGATAGGATCTGTATTAATATACTCAAAAAGGTCCTTGCAGACTCTTGTCATCCTATAACCACTAAATTAACTCACACCAACAGCAGAAACCCTAATAGATTCCGTATATAACCGTATATAACCGTAATAGGTTTCCGTATGCTCTTAACACTGCAAAAACTACTACATACCAAAAATCTTTTATTCAAAAATATCTCCGTATCCCTCGTGATGGTGTCAGTGACCTTTACCTCCCGAGCATTATTGGGATATGATATGCTGAAAGAACCCAACAGATCTAAGGTTTATTTACCTGTTTGAGAAATTATTTTTATTTAAAAAAAAATGACTCGTTTTATCATTTTAGAGTAAATATTCAACAAAAAATAACTTATATTATATCAACCTCTCTCTATATATAGCTTATTTATTGAAAGGTTGATAAAAAGATAGGTATATAAAATATGAATATACAAACAAAATTGTTTTATTTTTGCTTCGTTTAGCGAGAAATCATTTGTCTTGTAGACGTTGAGTTGAAATAGTTGGAATTCAAGAAATTAAGTAAACAAAAGCATACAGGTATAAACAAAATAATAGTGGAGGCAGGTAGATCGACTTTAGTTGAATTGTTCTCAAATCAGAACCAGACTTTTTCAATGCGTTAATCGTAGGAATACAGCATGATCTATTAATTAACATGAGCATAAGATTCAACTAAAGTCTCTTATTCAAAAAATTATTGCATAATGTCATTCTGTGACATTGGTGGGAAATGCAATAAAGTTTGTTAATACATTGGATTATAAATTTTCAATGCCTACTTTTGCCAAAATTATTTTCCTACAAAATGAAAAATTGTTTTAACTAAAAAAATTAAAAAATAAATTCCGTCTTAAATATTGTAATTCCAGCCGTAACTGCAATAACCTAAAAGTCACAAACTTAATGGAATTCTATTCGCAACAGAATTTTGGTATATCCTTAACTCTAACGAGAAAACTTCATGACCGAAAATCTGAAGGCAGCCGCTTCACAATATACCTTAATTGCTGGATCAAGGTCTTCTGGATCTGTATCTTCATTAACCTCATTTTCTAATTTAATAAGTATAGAACGTTTGGCTTGAGTTTTTATTTTCAACTACTTTGAGTCTTTGACTATATATGCATCATTGTCCTAAATAAAATGCAACACTTTTTCTCTAGAAATGCTTTAATATTTAAGGCATTTTTCAAAACATTAAACAATTTCTTCACATGTATGTGGATGTTTTGCAAGATAAAAAATAAGGATAAAATGGTTTTTTGAATTTGCGAAGAAAAGAAAAAAAAATTTCTTAAAAAGACCCAGTAAGACCTTTTTTAGTTTAGCCATCAATGTACATACAATTAGTGACTCGATCGTTGAAAACGTAGCAATTAGAAGATTGGGATGTCTTGCTCATGATATACAGCCAGTTGTTAAACTTGCATATGATGGTAAATTTCATGGCTTACACATATGCATGGCTTACTTTAGAAGGTATGTGAATTAGTGGAAAATATTTGCAAATCTTCTGTTGCATTGTAAAAACTATTTAACATATGTGGTAAAACTGTGATCAACGACTGTTCTACAAAATGAAACAGCACTTACATAATGGTTCAAAAATTTCTGAAAATAAAGACATCTATTAAACAAAGTGCTGGGTGACCTTAACATTGATTCCTTTGCAAATTGTAAACAGATAATGCTTTAGGATTTTGTCAATCTTTTAGAAGCTTTTGCTAACAAAACTGATAATCTCCAGACAGATGCACTTTCTCTATCCAGTGTTATACCTTCGATATTTAATTTGGAATGTCACTTTGAGCAATTTAGAGATTTTGGCGTCATTGTAAATGCAATTTTTTTTTAAACTTAATTTTCATCAGGCCTAGGTGATAATCATATAATCACTAAGCCATTTATTTGCATAATATATATGAATAATTATTAAAGTCAACACACTATCTATCCATTAGTTTTTATTTTTATTAAGTTTGAGGAACTTTTTTTTATTTTATTAATTGAAGTTTTTTAAAATTTTAAAGAGATAATGTTAACTTGTAGTTGTGTTTTTTTTTTTTTTTTTTTTTTGGATTGAGGGGCTCTGAACCCTAGCCACGAAACTGAGTGTATATTGTTACATTTAAATAATCTTTCTATATTTTTGTGTTCGCTTATAGCACTCAGCCCTACTTCTTTAAATTATATATTCCAATATTATTTGTAATTTATTTTTATTTGGTTCAAAATTAGAAAATTTTGAACCAAATAAAAACTAGAACTAATATTATTTTAACACGAATTGAATAAAAAACAACTAACTTTACCAAACTGAGTAAAAAATAGAACTAAAATTATTTACCAAACTGAATAAAATCTAGAACTATATTTTTTTTCCAAAAAAAGATATAACTGAGCATACTTTACCAATAAAACATACTGCATATATAATGCATACTTTACCATATAAAACAATCCATTCTTACCTTGTTCAAAGTTTTATAAACAATCTGTATAAGATTTCTACGCTTTCCAAACAATAACAAGAATTTGACCAAAAATGGAAAACAAGTTATTAAAACTTTTGAGAACACACTAGCATTGATTTGCATTTTAGTCAAATTCCGAACAGCTGAAGTAAATTCATTACTAGAATGAGAAGTGATTGTGTTAAATTGGTACCCAAAACCAACATCACCAACTATATCGAATGACAGATTAGACAAATCATCCAGAACAGTTAGGTTTGTCCCACTTTCTTTATCGCATGTATATGACCAAAGCTAAAAATACTAAAAAATTTTAGTATATTTGAAAAATTAAATTTGTTAAAATTTTTCCAGTAAAAGGAACATTATTTTTAAAGAAGCAAAAGACAGGGAACATTTAACTACCGGGAAGATTTGACCATTCAAATATTTTCCGGTAGCATTTTTTGAAATACTATACAGGGTCAGATAGGCAGAGATATGTCCAATCTTTTTGTCTGATTTTGAAAGAGAGGAAAGCGTGCGTTTAACAAGTATAAACAAATGCACAGGGCATAAAGCATACCAAATAAAACAAATGTTAAAAAGCGTAATCCTAAACTTTACAGCTTTGAATATTGAAAGTAAAATTGAATTATCATATAAAAATTCAAACAATAATAACACAAATATTGATATTTTTCTATCAAATTTTGTACTTATACCTTTAAAAAAACTTCACAACTTAAAATATCTGTGATTCTCAGAATATAATCTTAAGAAAAATAGATTTAAAAAAAAGTATTTTTCTAATGGTTTTTATTACTCTATGACATACAACCATTGTAACAAACTATAAAACAGATGTAAAAAGTTGACTATGCTGAAACTCTAATTAAACAGTTTTTTAAAAAAATTGCTATGATTTACCTAGTAACATCAGTAAAGTATTAATAACCTGGTATAATTTTTTTCCCAATAAATACCCAATCATCTTATAACTTAGCTTTAAAATTATTTTTTAAAAATACCTTTTCAAAACATTACCCTAATTACTCCTATATATATTTTATTTAGAATACTAAAATATTTTACGATTGTGAATATTGTTTATTGGTTGTTATAGCAAATCCAGGAAATTTGCAACGTTCTCAAATTAAAAGCAATTGTTAGCAAAAGCTGATTTGGATTGCCCTCAATACTATATTGAAGTAAAAAATTATAAGACATTATAGCATAATTAGTTATAAGAAAAAGTCTATGACTTAATACCGAATGGTTTTTTGTAATATAGTCAATTGATTACGAATAGGAATAAATCTAAATGTATTACACCTTTGATAATATATAGCCGTTAACCTGAACAAAATCATGGTTATTGTATTCTATAATTGGTAAATATGTTTTCCAACTAATAAAATTTTGATTAATTTTTTTTATATATTATGCTGTCACATAAGTTTATTTTAAATTAAATGCCTGCTCTGGAAAAATGAAAAATTAATTAAAATGTATTATGCATTTTCAAATTTTATGAATAGTTTTATTTTTTTTTTGGTTTTTTTTTGGTTTAACCAATAAAATCAAGTATACTTTCTTTAATTTCTGTGTATACCACTTGTCATATAATACCAAAATAGAGATGTGTCATATTTTATTTCGAAGTAATACGGAATAATTTTTATTGCAGACTTGTTTCTTCAAACGTAAAATTTTGTTTTGATGAATTTCTTTTTGCCTCGATAAATGTAATAATTAACCTTCACATGGTTTAACTTTTTCAAAGACTGTATGCATAAAGTATTTCACATGTAGTCTCTAAAAATTGCATATAAACTTTGATTTGTAAGGTTCTTCACCAAATGCCTGTACAAACTGAATACATTTTTTGTATGTTAAAAGCACTTCATCAGTCAGCCTGGTTTAACTGCATATAAACTTTGTTTGCATAGAGTACTTTACAAATAGTCTGATGAAACCGCATATAAACTTTGTATGTATAGAGTTCTTCACCAGTAGTCTGGTACAACTGCATTTTAAACTGCGAGTTTTGAACTTGCAACACCAAACAATTGGTTTAAATCCAATAAGTTGTCACTAAACATAGAAAAAACCAAGTACATCCTTTTTTACTCCAGCCAAAAAAGATACCCCTCTCATTACCTCTGCTAAAAGTATATAATAGAAAAATCATATAAGTAGATAATAAAAAAACATATATATATATATATATATATATATATATATATATATATATATATATATATATATATATATATATATATATTATATATGTATATATATATATATATATATATATATATATATATATATATGTATATATGTATACATATGTATATATATATACATATATATATATATATATATATATATATATATATATATATATATATATATATATATATATATATATATATATATATATATATTTATATATATATATAAATATATATATATATATATATATATAAATATAACATAATATATATATATATATAAATATATATATATATATATATATAAATATATATATATATATATATATATGTTTTTATATATATATATATATATATATTTTATATATATATATATATATAAAATTTTGTATTAAAGCACTTTTTAGTGATATATAACTAGTATTCGGTCAATATAAAAATTTTAATCCATATACCTAGTTGTAACAGATTACTGGTGAAGTACTTTATGACTAAAAATTATATACATATATATATATATATATATATATATATATATATATATATATATATACATATATATATATATATATATATATATATATATATATATATATATATATATATATATATATATATATATATATATATATATATATATACTATATATATATATATATATATATATATATATATATATATATATATATATATATATATATACATATATATATATATATATATATATATATATATATATATATATATATATGTATATATATATATATATATATATATATATATATATATATATATATATATGTATATAATTTTTAGTCATAAAGTACTTCACCAGTAATCTGTTACAACTAGGTATATGGATTAAAATTTTTATATTGACCGAGTACTAGTTATATATCACTAAAAAGTGCTTTAATACAAAATTTTAATGATGGTAAAATTATTAAAATCGAATTGTTCTACAAAAGGTTTAAAGGCTTTATGTACCAAATTTTTTAGAATATAGATTTGTTGAAGTAGCTGCAGTCAAAATTAAGTTTTAATATATTTAATTTATTACAACTTCTTTAATTTTTTTCTGAATGTATTCAACTTGGCTACACATTTATATTGGCTTCTCACTACCGGGCGTATCTTGAGAAATAGAGGGATTTTGTTCATAAAAACTATTAAATTTATCTAAATCTTAAAAAAAAATGGATAAAGTTGAGACAAATCAGCATAATAAATATAAGACAGTTGGTTATCGAATTGTTGACATTGATATTTTATCTGATGTAATAATTAACTATGTCGCAAAAAATGTTTACAATCTGAATTAAATCTTTTACTAAAAGGGTTTAGCTAAATTTTAAATATTTGCTTTAAATGCAACAAAAGAATTGGAATTTACATTTCAACGACATGTTTTAAGGAAAATAATTTTGATGTACATAGACGAGTTTATTCAATGCGTACATGTGGTCAAGATTTTTCAGGATCGGAAAATCTTCTTTAGTGAACATTCCTAAATCTATGACTGAAAAAAAATTAAACTTTTGTTTCTGATTGTGGTACAATTGTTGCCAAAGTAAATGATGCTGTTAAAGAACAGTAATTGATGCTGTTAAAAAGGTTTTTTATTATAAATGTTGTTTATACTAAAGTAGCAGTTGATGGACAACGTCATTTATTTTACTAATTAAATAAAGTTGTTACACCAGTATCGATGGACACGGGGAAAATTTTTGATTGCGAACTAATGAGTAGATCATGCAAAGCATGTAATCTAAATTTGAAACTGAGAGAAAGTAACTCTAGTTTGTAGCTTGGAAGTCATAACATGCATTTATAATAACTTATTGCAGCTCTGCAATTAGTTAATTTCCATGCATTAGTCGTTCTATTTTAAAAAATAAACTATAAGTTATACACCTTATAGTTAATTTTGTGCACACTAAGTTTATGATACTAGGTTTTTATAAGCTATGTATCTTTCAGTATGTATTACGGAGCTTGAAGTTAAGACAACTTTAGTTTTCTTTTTGCCCGAGTCATGTAAATCTTTTATTCATGTACTTTGTAATAATAAGAATTCTGTAACGGTTAAATAAGTATGTAAAAAAAATACTTTTAACGTAAAAATAGCTTTTTAAATCGCCCTCACCATAATAGTTAAAATATGTTAACTATAATAGTGATGGCAATTTTAAAAACTATTCCACGATAAGGATACATATTGTCAAAACACTTGTCAAAATACCTTTATGGTAAGACTTAAAATATGAATGAAAGTTTAAATGAGATGAAATGCTGTTTCAAATTTTGTTGTAGAGAAAAATATTTTTCAAATAAAAGTAGACTTTTATTTGAAAAATATAACATGATTTCTGTTATATATACTCATCAAGGCTATTCAACTATGATCAAAAAGCGTTTAATCTTTGCAGAATATCAAAATCTAACAACATTTAAAAAGCGACAACAATTTATTTGTGTATGTAAAAAAAAAAGTAGATGCAAAGAACAACTTGGAATGGTACCTTTATGATCCAATGTCTGTTCATATAAATAAAAGATTTTTGATTGAGTATTTGACATTGATTAATTAATAAAATTATGAATGGTAATATTTAATCCTTTCATGCACTAGGTTGTTGTACAACAACAAATTAAAAAAAAAAATCTTTAAGCAACGCGCATATGAAAAGGCAATTGGTTTTAGTTTATTTGGTGGTATAAGGTTTTAGCTAAAATACACACATTTGGTGTGTATTTTAGTTTAAACTTTACATTACAAGCGTTTTTAAATAGCGTCTGGAGATATAAAAATACATTCTTATTTAAAGTTATGGGTGTTTACTTTTCTTTTACTTAAAAAAGTATATGCTTAATGCAATAAAGTTAAAATAAAAGATTTTTTTAATCATCTTTGAACTGTCATTTTATATTTTGTATTAGCTTTTGCATATAAAGTATTTTAAATAAACCAGTGAAATAAATTATTGTCGTATAACAGCCCTTCAGTGGTAATCAATTTTTGCAAATACCAGTATTTATAAAATTATACTTAAGAGCTACTGCTATTTAATTTTGATC